AATATGTTAAGAGCCTTGTATTAAATTTTCAAGATTTTCTACCTAAAAAATAAATTTTTATCGATTTTAATTTAAAAAAAACTAATAATGATTGAAAATTGCATATACCTATGAATAGTTTAACTTAAGTCAAAAATTTTTAAAAATTTCATGGTGGATAGAATATACTTATATAAACGTTCGGTGAAAATTTCATGTATCAATGGTCATTCGTTTTAAAGTTACATCAAAAATCAAAATCGATTTTGTCGAAAACTGATTGTAYGTAAAATTTCCTGTTTTTCCGTTAATTTTTAGTTTGATTATCCCGATTATTTAGGAAAATATTAAGAATTTTTTACTTTTGATCCCCCAAAGTATCAACTAGATTCACTTTCTGATTTAACAAGGTACTGAAGTTAAAAGTCGAAGCATTTTTACAAAATTTTATCGACACTTCAAAAAAATTTTTCAGAAAAATTAAAAATTTCAGTTGTCTATAAATATCTCAAAAAAAGTAAAAATATTTTGAAAATTAAATCAAGTAAAGAAAATGCCAATCTAAATAACTGATAAAATTTGCAAGTATCTACGACTTAAACTTTTTGAATAATAACAAATATTTAAAATTGTTTCAGSATAAATCGTTATCGTTACGCTATTTCGTAAAAATTTAAAATTMAAACGCACTTAAAATTTTTCTTATAATGATGCTTCGATTTTTCTCTATAGCTCCTTGAAGGAAAACTTATTGTTGTATTCTTAATCCTTATTTATAAACATAAAAACTTTAATGATTTTTCAGCTTCAAAATTACTTGCAAATTTTCACGTTTTCTACAGATTTCGTAAAAATTTGAAATATAAACGCTTATAAAAAAAAAATTGTGCCTACGTATTCTTATAATTTTTTAATAGCTATAAGAGTAACTTATAAGGAACTTTGTATTAAATTTTCAAGTATTTTTATGGGGCCAAAAAAATTTTATCGATACTTAAAAAAAAAAATTTCAGACAAATTGAAAATTTCAGTCGTCTATAAATATCTCAAAAAAAAAGTCAAAATATTTTGAAAATTAAATCATGTAAAGAAAATGCCAATCAAAATAACTGGCGAAATTAGCTACTTGAAAGAAAACTTATGGAAAAGGTAGTGTTGTATTTTTAATTCTTAGTTATAAACATATTATTTTATAATTTTTCAACTTCAAAATTACTTGCAAATTTTTGCGTTTTCGACAGATTTCGTAAAAATTTGAAATATAATCGCTTATAAAAAAAAATTGTGACTTACGATTTTTAATTTTTTTTAGCTACAATAAGGAAAACTCATAAGGAACTGTGTATTAAATTTTCAAGGTTTTTTGGTCGCCCAACATTTTTTTACCGACACTTCAAAAAAAAAATCGAAAATTTCAGTGGTCTATAAATAACTCAAAAAAAGTCGAACATTTTTGAAAATTAAACTGTATATAGATAACACTAACATAAACATTTGGTGAAAATTTCAAGTATTAAAAAAATCGATTTGGTCGAAAACTGGTTTTGCGTAAAAATGCACGTTTTTCTATCATTTTTTTTTGTTTTTCTCGATTTTTTTGAAAACTGTTGGAAAATATTAACTTTTGACCTGTATAATGCACCAAGGATATTCACTTTTCCATTGGAAATCACCCCCAAAGTTTGAAATTGAAGCATTATTTCGACTAGTTATGCTGTACACAGACACACACAAAAAAAAAAACACACACACATCATTGTATAATCAATACATTCATCACTCCGTTCAGAATCTAAAATATTATACATTATACTTGCAGGTGAACCGTAATTAGTTGACCAACAATAAAAATCATGTTATATATTATTTGATTTTTTGACACCTACTCGGTTTACAAGATTTGTTTTATAGAAAAATAACATTAAGTTACCTCATTATTATTTTCTCAGGCAGTAAATTATTAATAAATACATATTTATATTATTTATCATATTAATAATTTAACATCGTTTTGATATTAAATTTCAGTACTGGCCTATTTGATTACGAAAATTCAGCTGTGAGAGTAGTCTACGTTATACGTTGTATATTTTATGTAATTAATGTATATCATATGTAATTGAAAAACTTTTAAATATTTTTTTTTTATTGTTGTATTGAATTACACCTTTTTAAAATATAATAAATCATAATTATTGGTAAGCGAGACAGACAAATAGTGCTTAAAAAATTAACATCATTGAAATAAACTGCTGCTATTTAATACCATTGAGGTAGTTAGTATAACGGACAAAGAATCGATATTGGCCTAATAATAATATTTTATTGATTACATAATTATTCACGCATAATAATATAGTTTACGGGCTCAATTATTGTCTTGTGATAGGTATTTGATAGTTGTTAGTTTGTTACCTATTTAGTATCTATTTATTATATTATTATCAATTATCATCAGCTTATTTATTGCGGCCAAAGAGTTTTCATATAATACTCAGCAATGGATAAATTATGGATATGTTGGTGGACAATTGAATGCAAAAGTTGATAACGTTTTTTTATTTATTTAAAATAATTGCTGAATAAAGTATAAACCATATTTATGTAAATTGTAAAGTATATACATTTTCAAAAAACACGCAATTCCATTTAAAATAATTCTTTTTGACAGTACGTCTACTTATGTCTTTAATTTTATACTTCGAGAAAGAATGTTTTTTTTTTTTTTAAATAGTATTCTAATTAGGTATTATTTGCAACATATTTAAATATCAAATATTAAATCAACGTAGCCCGATTGTTCATAGGAATTTAAATTTAAGTACTCCCTGTTACATCAAAAGATTTTCTAATATTTCACTTTCTGGACTCTTATCAAAAATCATTTATAAATAAAAACCTAAGTTACGGCCTTAATAATATCACCTTTAACTATAGGTATCTTACAACATATTTCAAATTTTATACAAGTTAGGAGTGTGCAAAATATTACAATATTTAAAAATTATCATTGAATCAAAGTAAAATTGAAATATCGTAAAATATCATCCTTCGTCAAGTATCCATAGTGGTGACTGGAGGAGTTAGGGTTTAGACTATCCCCAACCCCGAATTTTTTCTTAAAATATTTTTAAGCTTATTAATTCTTTGATATATGCTACTAAAAAACCTTATTTATTTACTCTAAAGCCCTTCCAACATTGGTTGCTGGCTACGGCCTTGGCCTATGCGTATAGTAACACGTATATGGATACAGATATTGTGGAATGTATTATAAACTATGGGTCAATATTAAAAAAGCTAATAACACAGCAGTATTGCAGGTTCTGCTATATGGAGATTTGTCATGTTGTCCGTTTGTAAAGGTATTATGTTTACATCAGGCTGAGATCGCGATGAATGGTATAAAATTCTAACCGCACCTGTCCATCAGAATATTCGTTCATGTTCGTTTTCCAACTTTTTAGCCGTTTCAAGGGATACAAAACTAAGTGAATTTGTAAGTGGTCTTACCACTAGTAACACCCACATCATCGGTTGATCGACGAAATAAATCATTCTTTTTATCATTTGAAGTTTACTGACTTATTTTCGATCGGAATAATTACTGTTTGTCGGGTGATGAGGTGATGAGCCGAATGTCGTTCACACTGAATATCATTCTATTTGATCTTAGCGTCATCAGCTCAAACCAATGCGAACACGAACGAATGATATAAATTCGCATTTGTGTGGATTGGAGGTTCAAAAAAAAATGTGTATTATTGCTGAGTGTAATTCAAAATTGAAATGTATATTATAATATTATTATAGCCACTCATCATATTTTAGGGAGGAATATAAATACAGAGCGTTCCGTGAGGATATATCTGTTAGCCGTATAGATAAGGGACTCGCTGACCGGATAAGAATCAGTTTTTCGCCGTTTTATTCATAAACTAAAAAAAATAAAATGTTGATAGGTCAACATTTTCAGCAAAATAAACTCTATAATATAAAAGTATCTTTATTTTTTTCAAAAATTAAAAAATAATTTTTTTTTTAACTTTTCACCAAAAAATAAAAATAAATACATGTAGCTCTTGTCTATGTGAGTTTAATAAAAAACAGATTTATTATCTCAGGAGATATCGCAATGGGTAAATCCTCGCGGGACACTGTATATTATATTATACTCTCGAATAGAAAAACAAGTTTTATTAAATTTGTACGTCTGTAATGATTATTATTTTGCAATTATACGCTTGCTACTAGAGTACTAGCATACGTTTTTATTATGCAAAACAACTTACTGTTAATTTCTCATGACACATTATGTCCATTGACTCCTTAATGTTCGAACTCGATGATAAAAATAAAAAATACATTTGCAATACAAAATTATAGTACCTATATTATACACAGTACCCATATAATTACGTGATATATCATTAAATTTGAATTATGCGCGTTGTTTTTATTTTTGGTTCCACTATCGATTTAAAGTTTTTGACTCATTAAACGTAATATTATATTTATCATATGGTTTATCAGGAGGTGAAAAAGGATGCCAAAAAATCAAGATCTGATAGTCTACAGTAATTATTATTTTTTTTTTTTTTTCATTATAGTAATGACTATTTAGGTTTATTATGGATAAATGTATTTAACTGTTAAAAAATGTATACCTACAAGCAATCACTTGTCATTCAGGCTTACACGTGTTTTGAATTTGTATGATTTAATTTTAAATTTAAAAAAATAAACACTTCCATACAACTACCTAAATGAATAATGCATATTGTAAATAAATTAATCAATAATATTTTAATTATTTAATTGCAATTTAAAAATCCATCATACGATTATATTTGACGCTGATTTGTTATGGCTCTAAAACTGTTACCTATACTATTACCCTGAATTAAATTTTGTAGATAAGTTAGGATATTATAAAATATGGAGCTTTAAGACTAATTTGAGTGATAGACTTTTACAGCTATAAATAATTGTTTTATATTCAAAAAGTGATAAAAAACAATTTTAGAGCTTATACTCATGCAAAATAAGCTACGAAATTAACTACGCACGTAGATTATTGATATATTATGATTTATGAACATTATATTGTGTCGAATACGTATATCGAATATCGATGGTCAGAACGAATTGGATTTCAATCATTGCATATTGTTTCTCGCGATCTCGTCGACCGAATAACAATAATACAATTTGTGTTGCTTGTGCCTGGCAATTAATTAATTTAGTTTACAGGTACGGACATCGATCTAGATTCCAGTTGATTGAAATACTATTGCAAGACACTATATACTTACGGATGAACGGAAAACCCGAGGCATACGATCGATCAATGACCGTCGACGAAGCGGACACAAAACTGTTGGCTTTGGCCTACCGAGACGAACATGCAAGCAGAATACAATGACAGATTTCAACGGTAAGTGCAACTATACAATTGAACTTCTGCATGCTTAATCGATGAAGCGATATGTAACGAGGAAGAATAACGTGATACATGCCTATACGACTATACGAGAATCGATCGAACTGAAACGTAGTTGGAAAGTTGTATGACATATAGTATGATTCTGTACGTATAAGGTAGACGCATATACTGCAGCAGCAGCACGAATATGTTTTTACCTCACCTACAACCAATAACTGAGCAAATATTATAAGTATAACTATTGAACAATTAATAKAGCATTATAAGGTATTCAAACGGACATTTATTCTATTACCATATTATAACGTTTGTCAAGAACGGACCAACGAGGTAACGAAAAATCATAACACATAATATACTTTTAGTTGTTTTCTTCATTAATTTTGTTTAAATGCAGAATACATTTTTATCGGAACAGGATACGTGTCAATGTTTGTCAGATGTGTTTGAAGCTCGAAAGTCTAATGGCTTAAGAATATTTATTAATGTACAAAAGTTGTGGTACTCCACCGTCCATTGATCCTATACTGCGGCGTTGAATAATTAGGTATGAATTCCGTCGTACACGAAAAACTGTTTTTATAGTTCTTCGTATTTTGGTCCGTAGTATAAAGTGTAAAACGATTATAAAATCGTTTCTCTGCTTTCATGGGCGGTGGTAAACTCTCCCGATTGTATGATAAAGTCTCCCGATGGTAAACTCTCCCGGGTAAATATTATGTTTACCTGAAAGAAATGTGCAAACTCTCCCAAGTTATTTTAAATGTTATTGCTACTCTATGAATTGGCTACACTGAGATTGTGATTATAATTGTTATTATGAATTGTATTACTGTATTTATCTTGTGTTAACCTGTATTTGTCATTTAAATATTTAAAACGATATCGACTATATAATGGCTGAACCAATTCTAACTATGTAAAACGAATAATACCCCATGCTCCCCAGCTAGCTTAGTAGTACTGAACTAGACCCGGGAGAGTTTACATGTTCCCGTCAGGTAGTATTGGACTAAACCCGGGAGAGTTTACATGCCATTAAAATCGGGAGAGTTTACAATCGCCCGCTTTCATATCTTATTTTTAGCAAACAATTTTATTCAGCTAGATTTTTAAGTTACGATAAAATAATCAATAATATCATTTATCTATAAGATAATTCATCATTATAAACATGTTTTGTACTTATTTATCGGTGAAAATTTGAGATATCAAATGATCAATATATTATACTACTTAGTACTTTGACTACTTATTTATGTTGTATTTTTCAACTCAATGTTTAAAAATAAATACTGAATATCGATATCACATGAAATGGATATTGTGTAGGTATAAGATATATATTATATATATTCAGATGTCGATCATTAATCTTTTTTAAGAAAAATATAATTATACTCACCAGGTGCTTATTGTATCCGGCCAGAATGGCTTGCTGAAGTTTCGTTATGTCGATGCCACTAGGCTGCGTCTTGCTGAACGACGCTTCCTCTTGTGGCTTGGTCTGGTGCTGCTGGTTTGGTTGGAGATGTGCGCTGCTGAATTCGTGTATGCTTGATGGCGCCGTGGCCAGTTTCAGAGAGCCAATGTTGGGCGTAGGTACACTCATCGGCATGTTGCCGTTGCACTTGGCCGTGGCTATTTTCATTTCCTTCCGCACTTCTTTCACCACGTCCGGCCCGAAACAGTTCTCGTACACCTGCAGACGATATCATAACACATATATATATATTGTAATACACTCGCGCGAATCAGAACCGCGTAACAAAAATCAGAGCGCGCATTGGTATTTACGAGTAGTAGGTATTATAATATAGTGCATATGTGTATAGTACTATAAATAGTTACTTTTTCAACGTTTTTCAGAAAATAGCGCAATGTTAAGCTTACATGATTTTCTGCAGCAGAAATATTATAAATAAGTACTTTATTTTTGATTTATAGAAGTCGTTCCATTTCATATTTTTAAATATTATGTAACTTAAATTTGAAAGAAAAAAATCGTTACGTATACCTAATGACTTTTAATAATTGATTCTATACCGATTTACCAACGTGGTTAGAACTACTGTATATATAGATAAAATATTATAGTTAATATGTATTTAGCGAAATTGAAATATTAAAAAAAAATCCTGCATGGTCAGCTCGCACACTTCCCGTTCTCACCGAGTTGCGAGTGGATAATCATATATAATAGATATGTTTAGATAATTATATAGTCGCTTAAACTTTCTGGGCGTTGAAATGTTGATTATTTCACGCTTGTAATCGCATGATGCATTTTCAACGATTTAAAACGGTTTACAAGGATTTAAGTTGTAGAAATAAAATTAAGAATCCTCATAAGTAATTATTATATTATGCATCTAGGGTCGTTTTGGTGCGTTTGGATGCACCTTTTATATTAACTGTATGCACTATGAAATGAAAACACTATCGTTTAATATTTGTGTACTTAAATTCGTTAATACTTGTATAATAATTATGGAAATGCTAATGAGGTAATATATTATATTATCTGTACGCAAGACGGTGTCGGAATGCAAATACTTATTTTTAAATTTTAGTATTTGAGTAACAACGCGTTTAAATGAATGGATTGAGTTTTGTAACGGATTTTATAAACAATAATCATAAAAAAGTAAGCATCATATTTGCACGTAAATATATCATTCAATTATTACAATAAAAATTGAAGTATATTTTATCATTGTATTGAAATTTGAAATTTATAAATACGATATATACTTAGTTTTGAAAATAAAAATAATATTTTTATAATATAATAATATACCTAGCTGGAGCCTGCAGGAATATGAAGAAGGTTTATGTGACCGCGAAAAATATCTATTGCCATTATTTACTGTTATAGGTACTTTGATATTATATACAATAGCTAAGTAGCCAATTGACCGGTTATAATAAGTATTGAACAATTTAAAAAGAAATGAAAATCTTTAAACGCAAAACAATTAGTCGGTAAAGTATTTTTGTAATTTGTCCAGACATATTTATTGTTTATGTTATTAAAAGAAATAGCATAAATAATATTTAATTTATTATTATTCTAACTCTCTTTAAATTGTAATAATAATAGTAATTTACAATTAAGGAAATATTAATTTATCTTTACTTATAACTTGTAATATTATATGCCTATATACATTAGTATAATTATATATAAATGCGTTATGGGTTTCAGTAATAAAAAGTTATTAATTTCATAATGGTATAGAATGTACATTTTTTAAACTTTTTAAATTAGTTTCTAAAATACTGGACTAATTGGTTATTATTAGGGCAGTAGTGTTTTAACGTCCGTTTATACATGTATGTAGGTAATTCATATTTATATCTTTAAACGTCAAAGGCTTTATAATATTTGGCAATTATTTCTTTTAATTTACTCTTTAACTTATTCACTTGTCAAGTAGACAACCGTACATTATTCACAGCATATATTATATACAGTTGTTTATAGTGTACATCCACTATGGTAATGTCACAGTATGTCATACGTGTGAAATACTTTTAAAAAAAAATTATTGTTATTATTCGTTGAACCATGTAAAATAGTAATTGCTCGTTTAACATTATGTGTGGACTGTCAACTATGGACTGTGAAAGTAACCGTTTTGTTTTACTTTTTCCACGACTGTTCCAATAATCATCTAATATCATATTTTGCAAAACACGTGTAATATGATAAATAAATATACATGTTACATATTATAATATATGTATTAAAAGTATATATGTATATGGGCATATGGCATACCTTCATCATGGCGTATTTTTTTATGAACTTATCGTCACCGGATGTGAACGCCAAGTTCCCGTTTATGCATAGCGCGCTAATAAGCGCAACAATCCGGAACAGATCCATGTACTTCATGATGGTATACTCTGGAAAACAAATAAAAACCAACAATTGTTATTCACGTTTATAATCTCATAATGTGTTGTAAGCGCACTATTGTTTGAACTGTAAAAGATCACAACGAGTTCAAAAATAATTAATTTACTGAAACTGCGTTGCAAACGAAACGTAATCGTAATTGTGAAGTAGCGTGCAGATATCACGTCGGTTTTGTAACTGTAAAAACTACGATGTTTGTTTTAATCTTAAATACCGTTATAATTTTTTTTATTCAAGCGACGATCATCTTCTTTACGCGTAATTCAATTCACTCGTGTTAATTTAGTAATTAAAATATTTGCAGGCTCTTTAAGTTCTACTTATAATATATAATATCATATACAAAGTGATGTTATGAGAGCGAATAGCTAAGTACATAATATATATCTATGTATTTATCATCTATTGCAGCGTATATAGAGTGCGTGTACCGCGAACGAGCAGTGAACAAACGGTGGTAAAAAGTTTTCATTGTTTTCATTGTTAACCAATGACGAGTGAGTCTCAAATTATTATAGTGAGAGCTGAATTGTCTTCCTCCCGCCACGACCGCTTTAAACTTACCTCTTCACGGGGTCCTAATTTTAAAAGTTCTGATGCACGTCGAGTGCTCATGTTGTTTTATCGTTGCATAAATTTATATTAAAATTTACTTTGAATTATGTGGTTGTATGATATAATATAATAGTACCTATCTAATATATTACATATTAAAGTGATAAATTTAATAAATGTTATGATGAGAGATAAAAATATTATACTGAAATATTTATAGCTAATATTATAATATTATAATACGCCTTTCTCCCTCACGGGCCACGATAAAGTATTAAGCCTGTATTATTATAATAATTATTAAAAATCCCAAATATTTAAAAAAAAGTGTTTGTTTTGTCCAATATACAGATCACAAGACACGAATATCGCAAAATATTAATTCATATATAGGTATTAATGGTATTATTATATTATTAATATTATATTTTATTCTTTTATAGTAGCTATAGACGTCTGTTTGTCATTTCTACTGTTTCCCGTTATTATATACCTGTGAATTTAGATCACAATTCAGTGTGACGATCAGCTTAGTATATCAACTATCAAGTCGTGGAAAAATGTTAATATAATAACATGGTACAATAATTTTCAACACGGTCGCGTGAATCATTCGTAGTCGTGGTGTTATGGTAGAGAAAATTTTCGCCAACGATTTGGCATAGCGACAGCCATGTCTGTATTTATATACGGTAATGTCGGTCGCATTTATTATATTATTATTTATTGTTATTATTTTTCGTTTTTTTATACCAAGGAAATATCTGCAGATTGCTGCAGATATTAATTAATTATAATATAATTTAAATTTTTGACTTAAGAGATAGGTTAAGGTTATCTGAGCATGCACAAAAAAGTTTGAGGAGTATGTCAAATATATTTTTATTTTTGGTTGTTTTTAATAATTTACTGTATAAATATGTTATAAATTATGATAAAGATAATAAATAGAATAATTATACTACAATTTTTAGACGCAAAAACATGCTTTATTGATAAAATAACATATGCATTAATTTATGTGTATTTAAGTGACTCTCCATTTGGCTATTAATACAGTGATAAGATACATAATAATATATATATACCTACAGGCTAAAATATTTATGAATTTAAAATATAATATTTTAATTTCAGAAGCGTGAGTATCAAAACTAAAATCAAAATTATCATTTATAAATTACAACACGATTTAGATTTTAGAATACAGCACTTCAGATTATACATACATATAGTACATCATTTTTAATACTGTTTAGAAAAGGAAGGGTGAACAAACATTTGTTCATTTCTGGTACACGCTCTAATTTATTAACTATAGTCCAACTTTCAAAGGATTTTATAGGAAGTAAGTATTAACCTAATATTATAGTATCCTAAGTAATAATTATTAATTTTGAATTATTTTTTACATAACCACCAGGAAAATGCCAACCTGCAAATAATTCATAAGTGATATTTTATATAACTGCTGTTACGCTGCTTATTATTATTTTTATGTGATCGAACATAATATTATTTTCTCCATTTCATTATTAATTATCGATCTCGTTTTCAATGTGAGACGCAAGTGTGGATAGTTAACGCAATGCAATATACATCACGCTCCCATTTGTCGTAATAATATTGTGCCACTGCAAAATGGTTGTTTTGTAAACTCAAACTTCTAAAAACTGTTTTTTTTTTTCTATTAAGTTGTGCACAATGTGCACATAATTGCGTCTCGGACATGTGATGACATATTTTACGAGGACGTTTTTCCTCGTCGTATTTGATATTCACCAAAATACGTATTATGAAAATATAATGTAATGTTGTGTTTGAAAATCGCCGCCGCCTATACGTATTTTGCACATTATTCGCGAAACGAACGCGGCTCGGATGGGACCCTGGTATTCGTTTGAGCCGCGAGTGACACAACCAGAGGGTCACGACCGCCCGTTTCGCATAGGTCAGGGTCGTCGAGACGAGCGGTGGCGTGTGGTGTTCGGCGGCGCACGTCGTCGGGTAGGTCGCGTAGGCCGATCGTTTTTCATACCTAACCTAACCAAATATTAAAATAATATTATGTTTACTTGGCGGCGCCGCAAGCGCATTTCCGTCGCCGAATAATTATAATAATAATAGCAATAATTTTATCGGTGTTTTTATCTAAACAAACGATCATCGCACACGCGCAAGCGCCTATTATGATCGCGATTAATGGCCGTGTGCATCGTTTTCTCCTGAAAATCGCACCGTTTAAATTCAACAGTCATACTCTATGAATAATATTGTATTTAGGTTTAAGTCGGTACCGCTTAAAATTTTAAAACCTAATTTTGCTATAGGTAGGTACTTTGCAATAGAATAATATTGTACGATAATGGCTGAGTTTAGTCGATGCTGTCACTGCAGTTACACCGTCGTCGCGGTCTATAAGTCGACGAAGTATTACATTTTCAAACGACAAATAAATGGAATACGAATCTTACACCACTCGCATAAGATACCTACAATAGTTTCACACTTCCGGATTTATCATTTTAAAGTAAATCTATAATAATTTATTTTGATTATACAAAATTCGTCGAAAACATCATTATTCCTGAGTTCTCTTATTTTCCTAATTTTTTGTTTTATGTTCTGCGTAGATAAAATGTAACGATTTTAAAATACTACACTTATCAGTGATTTGAATAAAATCGACGACAGTGGTATACGAGACTAACGAGAGTAACCTATAGTAGTAGGTAGGTACAATATTAAGGTCCAAATGAACACGTCTAGTTTGGAACTTAGAAAAAATAAATTTTTTGGATGGATGGTAACGGCGAGATGTTTTGCGTCCATTATGTTACATATTTTTTATACATTACAATTATTAAGATGTAWAGTAATAACAATAAATTATTTTAGTAATTTATTAGTTGTAATCAAAGTAGATACCTACAACAATAATTTATAGATAGCTTATACTATATAGAATATATATATTATAGACAGTGTTTCTCAACCTTTTGTAATGTCAATTATAATGTGATAATTTTTTTTCACATTAATAATGTGATTAATGATTATAATATACTATTAATTATTTTTATTATAAGATATTTTTTCATCGAGTTTAAATATAATACAACTCATAATTATTCAGTTTAAGATTATTTTTAAATTAAAATATGTAGGTAAAATAATTTAATTATAAAAAAATATATTGATATCCATGGTAAAATCTATGTTCTATATTAGTATAATATTCTACAATACTAGTTTGTAGTTAGACTTTACTATAAATTTATAACATAACCTATCAGATAGGTTTCATAAATTACCATTGTTTAGTATGATGAAAGTATAAAATAAAAATGTTACTTTATCCGCAGTTTAAGTGGTAGAAATATCAATCAGTCCACTATATAATATAGTGTCGTTTTATTGTATAGGTATAGCTCTTGAGTTGCAAAGTAAAACCATCCACGCGTAACGTTTTCTAGACGATTAGGCGCCCAAAACGATTATAATACATCACGTGTGGTTATAATTTATTCAGGTGATGCGAATGATGTTAATTTTTATACCTATGTACTATGCAGTATCCTATATTTTATTATTTTTGATATTCTACTGATTATTATGGTGTGCACAACCGCGTACAGTCGTCGGTTATAACTTCGCAGTTACCGATTACCGCGATTTCATTACCTATACGTTCTGCTGCGGTTGGCATAATAATAATATTATTTTTATTATTATAATATACTATACATTACTATAATACAATTGTAGGTACCTACCTACCGCGATGCGTTTCGCAGTACCGCAAAAACCGAACGGAGGAGTTAACTTTATAATGGACATGCGTCAGTTTCGTGTCAGTACGTGCCGTTATTATAATATTACGGTTTCATGTGCAGTATACGCCATACGGATATGTGTTCGAATAGTTTGGAAATTATACACTATACAGGTATGATAATAAATTATTATTATGTACCTATACCTATTCATTGTAGTCTGTACTCTGTAGACCTAGGCCATATAATACGATATCGTATTATTGGTTTAAGTTACAAATTATAATATAGGTAAATTGTATAGTATTTGTGTATTTATTTCGAATTATAACAATCATTATTAAAATATTCATATCTATATATATTATATGGGTCATAAATCTATAGGCTTTAAAACGGTGAACTAAAAATTCAATTTTGGTGTGTGGGAGGAGTTGGAGCTGAGATGGATAAGCTTATTCTTCAAGAGAAATAAAAAAAAAATATTTAGGTACCGGACATATGCCAGCTGATATACAGGATAGTATTGTTAGAAGTCAGGGTGTGACCCATATATATAGCTGAAAATGTTTTTATTTGTTTTAATACCCGACTAATTCGAGAGTAGATAATTTCGGGAGGGTGAAAATGTAATATGATTGTGTGTATTATTCATATAGACATATAAGTTATCGATGGTATTTTATCTATTCATATTGAGATTATGTTAACGCGTAACATATATCTGTCAATCTTGATATTTCCTAACAAATAAGAACTACTACTCTAAACATAACGTTTTTAAAAAATAATATAATATTGTGTGTGTGTGCGTGCGTGCGTGTGTACTGTGTATATTGTATATACGCGGCGAGTACATTATATGTACCTATATAGTAAATTGTATTATTTATTATATAGGAATTTTGTTTTTCAATAGTGATGTACATTTGTACCTAATATTAAAATAATAATAACAATAATGACACTTTTTATTTTTTTTACGTTGTTTTTCTATTATCTATTCAAAAACAGCCAATGCGAATCTGGTGTAATTATAACAACAAATAACAACGATACATGGTAATAAACATTTTACGATTTCATTCGGTTGAATGATTTATATTTTATGGTACTTTAACGCTCAATAATAATTTCACACCATTTGTACAATGTAAAAAAATTCGGTACCCACTTGTGCCTATATAGTGTATATAATTATTAAAATGTCTATTGTCTTCCATAGTTGACGCCTAAATGAATATGATGTTATTTTTGTCGGAAAATCGAACTTAATTAATGTTTATGAATTGTGTTAGTAAAAGTAATTTTTATAATAATCAGTCTGCTTTTTATGTCCCTTTACATGATGGACATCTTTTATATATAAATATTTAACGTGTATATCAGATTTATTTTTCAGCATTTTTAGTAATATAATATGTTTATATGCATGACTCTATGTAGAAGATTAATATGAATTTAGTTAATAAATTAATTAAGTCTGCATTGGTATACAACGTTACTACTAATAGATTTTTTCTGGATAAGTAGCACATTTTTATTCCGTCTTCAATTGGATTAAAATATAACATTACAGAATGATTATTTCGAAAGTGTACAAATTTAATGCACTTCACTTATCGGATAAGTTTTGCTATTTTAGTGATTCTAGAAATTTATTTCTAAATCGTTTGTAGACCACCCAGAATAATTCAGTCGAGTAACATATACTATTATATGCTTGTATATGTATCGTATTTCGTAAAATATGTAAGAACTATTATGGACACTGTACAGCCTCATTTTTTATGTGATCACATGATAATGTATTATCCTATACAATATGATTCTATTATACATATATCATATTTTATACTTACCTAGTTTATCGCATTCAATATTATTTTTAAAATTATTTGTAGAAAGTTGCATTAGATTATAGTCAATATTATAACTTTATAATCTCATTCAAATTATAGTTAATAATTTAATGTTCTTTAAAAAAGAAATTACACTACTTTTGTGAAATTAAAACTTTAAATAGGTAATAAAATATTTATCGAATCCATTATTTAAAAATATGAGTTGAAACGCAAACATAAATAAATTCTATAATAATTGTATAATATAGGATAAAGGGCTCAGATAGAGGGATAGATATAAAAAATATAATTTTTTAAATAGAAAATTATATTATTATGCCAATAAAAAAATATCGTCGTTAAAATAAAATGTTTTGTAACAAAAATATAAAATCAAACGTGAGTATCAATGTGACCACGAATTATTGTTAAAAATTGATCACATCATAAACAATGTTTTAAGCTTATAGATTTTTTCGATATAAGCTTATAATACAGGCTCCATACGATAATGAATATCCAAGTTCGAAACCATGTTTATTGTTTGATATACATTATTGTCTGTACACGACGAGTAATCGGAACGCTCTAAACAGAAATTGTGTTTTAATGACTCAAAAATAGTGTCTGCCGAAAAAATTGACTCTGACACTTTCGAAATTATGGGAGAACAACATAAATAATATAATATGATTTTAGAACATTAATAATAGAGAAAATAAAATGTGTGACATTTTTAAGTAATCGTGTATTCATGTCTATAATAAGACGTATGTTTAGATAGGTATACAGTACGTTTTCACACATTATAATAATACACTTGGCTATAATAATTTAATCGAATCCGTTTCCGTTATGTGAACAGATCATCATGCAGTTTGTCGGATAAAAGAAACACGTTAGTATAATATTATGTTGCGATGATGGAAATTTGACATGTATGAATCATTTGATTGAGATTGTTACGCTTGGAATACCTGACCACACCTGATATTATATTAATTCAAATATTAAGTATAGCCATATACGTCCGTAATCATTCGCCAGGTCTGCACATTTTGCAGAACACAATAATATCATTTTAGGTATTATTAGGTACCTACTTTTTTACGACTAAAGCGATCTTTTTCGATCGCCAGTCGTCTTGAACAACGTGTTTAAATTTCGTTTATTAACAAACTTAATCGGCAATGTAAACGATTTTGAAGACAATAGCTGTGAACAGTAATCATTACAACTGATACAATCAATTAGTGACTCTAGCGGTCCACGACGACCTTATGTTTACTTGTAATGGTATAGTTTTCTCACTGAATCGGTAAAACGGAAACATTGTGTGTACCTATTTAAACTAACGGAAGAAGTAAACAAGTAAATCTCGGCCAAATTATTAAAAAAAAAAAAATTTCGCTGTGGTGTATAAGATAATATCAATAGTATAGTATCCTAACGATTCTTATACATACGTCAGATAAATCTTTGATTTTAATACCCTCTATTGATATAAAAGTGACCTAGTTCAATTTTGTTTATTCTACGTGCCCATATAAATCCAAACAAAAGGAACCTATTCAATTTTCCTAATCGAACGGTTAGTTACATTTTATACCTAATTAAATTATTGATCACGACATCACGTTTTGTATTCAGTGATAGAATTAATTATATATGCTTTATACAAGGTAATAGAATTTAAATAGAAAATAATTTATTAATTACAAAAAACTAAATTTGGCAATATATTATACATCATAATATGATATATTATATGTATGAAATTTATTTTATATAACCATATATATAATCATAACTTGAATGTAATTTAGAAATAAATCCAAAAATTATTTATTTTATTTTATTTGAGAAAACATTAGACTTCTGTAGTTATGTTTAGTTTGTATAATTAAGTATAATACCTGCAGTGTTGKGTAAATTACTTTTGAACAGTTTTAATATTACTTGTTACATTGATTTTTTAAAATTTAAATTACATTCACGTTTAAACATTACTTTTATCACGTTGCTTTACTTTTTCATTCAAAAAATAGGAAGTTACAGACGACATTTTTTTTTTAATATTCACAAAACCAGTTCATTATTAAAACTAAAAAGTAAAAGGTATATTATTGATGAATTAATGTTATAAACGAACAAAAGTATTAATTCCTGGGATTTTTAATAATGTTGTCGATTATTACTTGTTATCTATATCAAAATCGTAAATATATTTAATTAATTTTTAATTTTTCTCGAATATAATTGATCTAGAACTAAGATAACTTATTTTAATAACGTAGAAAATATCATGTTACTCCCAATACTCCATAAAAATTACTTTTAATAAGTAATTTCGATACGATTTCGGTAATTTAAATAAAATATAATGAAATTACTATAGCGTTACTGCAAAAGTAATTTCGTTACAGAAATTTGTGATTCGCGTTACGTTACTACTTAACACTGATTATAAGTTTAGACAATATATACATGATTATGATGATTTTATTTTGGTGTATTTTAATTTTTTAACGTATTTAATATATGGATATAAGTTTTCTTAAGTTTTAAAAGTATCTAAGTTTATTGCAGGGTAGTACCATTGGGCATATTATAATGTACAATATTATATTTGTAGTAAATTTGTATGTTTGTAGTATCTAAAAAACTATACCTACAAAAGTAGTGATCATACGAATAATAAAAATTGTTATTAGTACCTATAGCTAATTTTAGATAAAACACTTATAATAGGAATAATCTTTATTTTTCTTACAGTTAGAAAATATTTATCCATTTTTACACACTGCTATAGAGTTTCAATTATATCACAAAATAGTGTAAAAAAAAATAAAAAAATAATATAAGTGATGATCTGTTGACCAAAATATCGGAATGCCAGATAAACACGGTAAGCACATCAACTGTTATTTGAAACTTGTTATTTTTTAAATAAAATAATAATAATTGGAAATAAACACTTACGCACGCAGAGAAGTGGTCGAGGATCTTGTGAGTTCGGTTTGCCCGCTGAAAAAGAAACGATCTGGAATCTATTCCACGCGGACAACTGACTACTACTCTTCTCGAGTGTTCAATAATATTATGTAATACTATTTACCAATTGGAAATATTTAATTTTTTTTCAAGTTCCACCGTTAATGCCGCTGTAAAAGATAAATAATATGTTTTTGTGACGAATATTACATCGGACCAGCAACACAACAGCACTGTAGCGAGTTCTGTGGACGGACGGACGGATGGACTGTACGTATATATCCTCTGGATCGGCCGCCTCAGCTGTTGCCGCCTCCACCACCGCCGACGACGACCAAGACGAAGACGATTGCGTAGTTGGAGAGGGGTTAGATATAGGCACGGAAAAATTATAATAGGTAATTGTAAATTGTGTTCACACACGCCGCGATATTAAGGATTCTTCAATTTCGTTTTCGGGGTTGAGCGTTTTTGTGTTTAACTTTTTAAGGACACATTTTCGATAGTAAACCGGAAGTAGGTGTATAATAACTATGATTTTTTTTACCTTTCATTCACTTTGTTCTGCTAAAAACTTATACACATTTGTAGCAGGTCATCAAATCACATATTATTATTATTATTCACTACGTGCCCAGGTTAGTTCCAACCTCCCCCGTTATCCATTTCACCATCAAAATTTCAAGGTAATCGTTTTTGAAAAATTGCAGGTGTACCACATCCATAATGCTATAGTCCATGAGTTTTGCCAACGCCATTATAGCTAGCCGACCAAACAACAATATATTTACGATGATGATATAAAAGAATCAATTGCCAATCACAGTATCCTGCTGCAGTAGGTGCATTTGATGGGGCGGGTAGAAGTGACCGGAGAAAATACCCTTATTGCCGAAATTTAGAGGCAAAATAGTTATAGATATCCACCAACAGTGATCAAGATATAATTCAGCGGTAGTTATATTAGCTATATTTTTTTGGTAAGAAAATTATTGATCGTTACTTTTCATTCATATATCTAATAGTCGATATCGTCAAATAAAGACATTAAAATACATATAAAACAATATTGTGCATAATATTTTTAATATTATTCAATATTATCGTAAGAAGAACAACTTAAAACAATTCAACCTATAATGGATTTTTATATTTCTATTAAAAATTGTATTCAATATAGTTTTTGTTTCAATATGAAAAGTATTTTAAATGTATTATCGATATTGTTATTATTTTCAACAAAATACATTTAATAATATTAGGTATACCTAATACTACCTATATATTGTATTAAACAAGAATCAGTTGTACAATATTTAACACCTTGATGTTAGGACTTCAAATACACAATTCTTTAAACTCATATTTTCCTAACACGAAAAATTTAAAAGTATAATTCCATCATCACTTATTTATAATAATAATAATTATTACGACTACAAGTCTACAAATGTAATATATATAACATATATAACTGTTGAGGCCTCTCAGTCTTCCCCTTATTGAATCCGCCACTGGCGTATTTATAGATACTCTGGATACGGTCGGCGGGTTGTATCATTATGAATTATTATAATATATAACATATCCTTTTTCAGCASCAGATATCAWTATAAAACTGCATAACTACGCGTCTCCGTATTATAATACACCCCGAAGTATGACCTACCCGTATGAGGTGGGTGATTACCGTAACAGGATAGTTTCGTGTGCCCTTAGGTTAACCTAACGTTGTGTGGGCTACATTTCGTGCTGCTGCTGCTGCGGGCATAACATATTATAATATTATAATGTTTTAACTGTTTTTACATAATAATATACTCTCTCGCGATACGATGGCGCATAYAATAATATTGTTTCACCTATATATATATATATAATACGACATATCATTTTCCCATCCGTTCTCATACTATATYTTTCGTGTCYACACATTATTTTTTACGCCGTCGGCTCGGTCTGTTTTCTTTTTCTAATGAACAGAAGAAAATMGCGCGTTCGTGTCGTGATCTCGTATAGAATATGTTTACTCGCGTTGACCCAGTGACGACGACAAGGTACATGCGGCTTATGAAAATACACTGCCGATGATGTTGTTTTATCTTCGCGAATAAGTATTGCCGTCAAATGGCGTCGTCTGTGGGAAACGCACTGGCTCGTGTATTATATCGTCGCCGTAATTACGTATCGTTTTATAATAATTATCACTGTTCACTCTCGCGCGAGATGATCTAAATCGCGAATCTGTTTCTCTTCGCGCATCACGTCGGAGCCGTATACATTCAATAATATAAGATAATATGTATTGTACATGCCAAACTTTCTTCTAAACGTTCAATTGTGTTATTCATAAATTGTTAAACAATCACTATCTGCAGTATTCGAACACACGACGACGATAACGCGCTATAAATGGGCCAGTGGCGCAGCTATATATTATATGGTCATTTTTTCAATGGTGGGGTCCCAATATCATATTATTATATATTTCGTTTGATGTTCGCGGTATGTTACGAAACGTTCCTTATAGCTGAGTTTGTCATTTTTGTAATCATCGTAACGCGAAATTAACATAAAATCGTTAATAGCTGTACCTATAACATAATATTATCCATATAAATAGAATTGATTTTCTAGATTAATTAAATTCACTTAAGTTAAAACACTATTTTATAAACGGATCAAGGGGGGAGCCYTGGTTGAGCTTCAGACTTGAACATAAAACATGTTTTATCATATTAAACGATTTTTCTATACCTATATAATAAATTGTTCGCCTTTTAAACACATACAAACGCCATTGAAATACCAAACTATACTYAAACCGAATAACGAATGTACACATCACGTCTTGTATAATATATTATAATATTATAGTTGATCGAGAGAAATGCTCCAATAGAATTAGTGGAATTATAATAATTATAATGGTAATATTTTACACAAAACACTAGACTATATAAGGAAAAGTTTATTTAATAACACAAATGTTTTTCTTGAACTTTGAATTTTAGAATGTACGAATTAATTTTAGTGCGGACCATATTAAATTTGTTAAAGGGWCGCATACTGTCCACGGGCCACGTAATGGAGACCGCTGCATTAGAGCTTTTTTATACACGACGAATGAAAATAGTTCAGTATTTTTTATTAGTATTTATTTTATTTTTATTTTGTAATAAACATTTTAATATTGTATTTGTATATACMTATTTATGTTTATGGAGGTATATGTGTTTATAATCTTTACACTTTATAATGTATACGTATTATATTTTTTTTATCTATATAAGTCTTCTTTTATTTGCAGCTTACAACCGTCAATAAATGGATTTCTCATACATTATGATAAGCTGTAGTTAACCTAACCGGAATGGTCATCAGAATGACACCAATATTGGGAACATGAAAGTTCAATAAAAAATACATTTGAAAAATTCATTTTGAAAGAACGTTCAACAAACAATATTTGTTTATTCCTAATGAATATATATATAGTGATGTATATAATATAATAATATAATATGTTATGTTTTTTTATTTAAACAGATAAGAAATAATAATAACAATTATAGTTTAATTCAAAGTCAGCGTGAAGCCTGGAACACCAAAGGCCCATTGATCAGTTATTTGAAATACCTCTTAATGAACGGCCTTGAGTCCTGTAAATAAAAATAAGTGCCATATTACGCTTAAAAATTACGTTCGATTAAATATTTCGATATGCACAAAATATTGTTATGAAAATGTGATTAATCATTTAGATAATATTTTAATTTTACGTGTAGATAAACCTCTAAAAAGCGCATAAGAATATATGATAAAATGTAAAATGTTAATAACAAGTAAAAACTAAAGGCATTACACTTGATAGTTTAATGAGTTTATCATATTTTCAGGGTCGATTGGGATGTACTATCGAAAATGGGAATATTCTATTTCTTAAAAACAATATTGTTTTGTGTGGTATTTGTTTTGTACATATGGATTGTGGAATTTTTATATGATGTGAAAAAATAAATGTTAAAACGACCGAACAGACGTCAGATATAATATCGAACGGGAAAATAATATGTAATAATAATATACAATACAATACACATTTACCTATATAGCTGTAAAGGATTTTGGTTTACGGCTTATTAATTCCATATACAGTATTCGACCACGATAGCTGCAAATCCCACGAGATCGCTCAATGATTTACAGTTTTTTTTTTTTGCTGCGCATGCTAATGTTGTTTATAGGTATCTATATGTATTTTTTATTTCCAMTACACGCCTATTTCCTATAACACTGGTACATATTTGCGCAGTGTCTTTTAAATTTTTGAYTACCGCAGTATTCTTTTGCACAAATTATTGAACATAGAATTTTAACTTTTGTAGGTATGTACACGCGCGATGTCGTCGTATGCACGATATACACAATAATTTCRATGCACCTATATCTACAGATATCAATATTAGACAGCTGTATTGGAGATATAATATTTGATGAAGCCGATACAATATATGTAACCGTCTCCACTTGCATTCATATTAGCATATATATAGATACCTACTGAGATCTCCAATTATTTTTTTTGGAAAAATCGAATGTATTTGCACGTTTATACAAAACAATACTCAAAGTCAAAATAAAAAAAAAATGAATAGAAAATCTCTTTTAATTCACCGTCAAAATRAAATAATTAAAAAATTTATATCCTGTCTGAAAGCAAGATAAAGTTTGCCGGAAGGCCACACGTGTACAAAAAATGTGTATACCAATTCATTAAATACAACTTATTAACTGCATATACATATAGGCTTAACTGGAGTCTCGCCCATAAAATCATTTTTTTATACACTAATAAATTTTGAATGCATTATAATGCATATATAATACATGCATTATAATACCTATAGGTATGTATACATAAAAATGCATATTTATAATAACACCTAACCCAGTGGCGGTTTTGATAAATCATCAAGGGAGGCTATTTTCAATTTTTGTGTTCCCCACCCTCCATAATAGTTGCATATATAACTTATATATATGCATATTATATAATTTACAGAAAATAACAGTTGACACAAAAAAATCCAAGGGGGGGGGAGAGCGCTCCCTTCGCCCCCCTAAAAACCACCACTGACCTAACCTAACCTAAACTTGGCTGTATATTTTTTCCACTGACCCCGTCCTCACAGTTTAAAGATTTTATATAGGTACATATATCATTGATTGTTTTCAGTATAATATTATC